TAATTCCTGTGCCATTGAAGCAAATGTAGGATTTTCAATACATATGTCTTACCTTCCCCCCCCGCCATGAGTGAATATAGGGGACTGAATACGATGAAGCTTCTCTGAAGGAATGTGTTTGTGCAGCTTCTAGACAACAAAGCACAATCAGCTCTATGGAAGGTTAAGCCAGAAACACAGCTGGCTTTGAGCTGTCCTCGTTTTCATCTACTGTAGTGTTTGGTAGGCTTGCTTAATATTTTGGTAGGTTTTTTTTTGTTTGTTTCATTTAAGTTTGCAGAGCCCTTGGTAGGGGAGGGTGGGGTGTCCTGGCTTTTCTTTTTGATAGAAGACAGTTGGCTTGGATCACTTGCTACCTTAGGAGATCAGTCTCTAAATGAAACTTTTGTACAGATGAAGTGTTTATTTTCTGAATAGCTGAAATGCACTGAATTGCCAGAAGCACCACTGAGTGGACTATAGGCAGTGCAAAGCTGACCTCAAGTGCACACAAACTGCTCGTTCCAAGTGCCACCAGACCAGTCTTACAGACGAACGTTTTTGCAACCTGAAGCCAGTGCCCAAAGTATGCACACAGACTTGCAGACCAAATTTTGTAGTGTTTAGCCATATATGTGATCAAGCTGAGTCCTGTTTTTAATGTATGAATGAATAATGGTGGTGGCATCAAGACCAGATTATGAAACGTTTTAATAGCTATATTGTCTGTGCAAGGTGTAATGGTCAGATTCAAAGGAAACTGAAAGCAACGTGTGATCCATTTTGTCCAATTTAAAACAGAACTTGCACTCAAGTTTTCAATTACAGTTTAAATACTGAAGAAACGGGAGTGAGTTTGTGGGTTGTGTTAGTGGGGGTGGTTGTTTATTTTCCTCACTACCAAAAGATTTTTTTGACACGTTTAGCATGAGTGAAGATTAGAGAAGACTTGCAAAGCCTCTGATTCAGCATCATCATCAGCTACCTTCATTAAACCAGTGTTATGACACCCATTTGAGCAGGACTTAAGAAAACTTGTAGCTCTTGCACTTGGGCTAAGCTTCCTCGCTGTTAACTGGAAGGGT